AGACCCTTCATAGTTTCTGGGGATCTACTTTTTTTTCTTTCTTTCTTACCCAAGTTTTTATTTTTCAGATGACACTGGGAGAGTTCAGGGTGGTATGGCCGTAGATAAGTAGTTATTTTCCAGTGTCTGGATCCACAATCTCACAGGCTAAGTTGTTTTTGCTTACCACTCTGTCATTTCTCTGGTAGTCTTATCAATCTTGTTTATCTTTTCAAAGCACCAAATCTTTGTTTCATTCTTTAGTCTCTATTTCATTAATTTCAGATGATATTTCTTTACTTTTATTGGTTTGCATTTGGTTTATTATTTTTTAATGCCTTGGTTATATCTCTCATATTTTAAAAAATGAAGGCACTTATAGCTATATACCTCCCACTCAGACCTGTCTTTGGTTTATTCCATACATTCTAAAATGTTGTTTCCATTTTCATATTTTCATTTGATTTCCTTTTTAGACTTGGATAACACAATGTTTAGATCTTTTGTTATGGTTCCACAGGTCTGTGAAGTCCAGAGGTAGGAAAAAAGTTTCCCCTATCTTCTGGGCAGTGTTGGAATTTCAGATTCTTCAAATGGCCTCCACTAAGAATCATCCTGGCTGGGTAAAAAAATGGGTGACTTATTACTGATCCTGAAGTTGTTTCCATTAGTGTTGAAGGCAAGAGTGGGAGATGTCCCCACCATCGGATATTATCGAAAGTTTTGACTTTCCATTCAGTGCTATCTAATGAAGGGGAGGGCTGCATTACAAATGGGTGGGAATTTAAGTTCAAAACCACCGCATGGCTTTCTTACTGCTGACAGTGATGAAAGTCTTGACTCACTACTGAGTCCTCCTTTATAATCTCAGGAACAGGATCAACTTATAAATCAGACCAGGGTAGTTGAGGTTTACTACTTGGCCTTTTCAGATATAGGTGAAGGTAAGGTAGTGTTTTCTTTCATGGTCATCCATTAGGGTAGAATAGCAATAGTCTAAACTTTTTGTCTTTTGACATTGGCTCTTTTCTTATGCTAGTGATAGAGCAAACCTTTTTTATACTTTTGTCTTCTCTAATTGGTATTTTCGGGACAGGAATGTAGCTCAGTGGCACATTGTCTGCCTGGCAAGCACGAGTCCATGTGTGCGATTCCCAGTTTAAAAAAAAAAAAAAAAAAAGGGAAAGGAAACATTATGAGAAAAGAAAAAAAATGGAAACAAAGTCTATGTAAATAGGGAAGGGTGGAAGGGGTGAAGGGCACACAGGTAATGGGGAAAAGAATAAGAGCCAAGACACATCATTTTCAGGTACAAGTACCCAATGATAAATGTAAATGTATTGTACACCTAAAATGTACCAATAAAAGAATTTAAGGAGAAAAAAAAATGGGCTAGTGATTTAGCTCAGTGGTGCCAGCTCCCTGCCTCGCAAGCGCAAGGTCCCAAGTTCAATCCCCAGTACCAAAAACAAAAACCAAAACAAACAAAAAAGAAAGTAGTTAATTGGTATTTTCAGCGTTGTATCCTGCTTCAACACCCAGTGTATGCATATATGGCAAAAAGTAAAGTGCTGTGTCATTTTAGGGTACCAAGTTCCCTAGTCAGTCTACCTTTTGCCCTCCACTACTCGATTTTTTCCCTAACATGTGTTTTACATTACAAGATGTCTAGTTGCAGTTAGCAGGAGAAATAGGGGGAAATATATTCACTCGACCTTAGACTGAAACTAGAAGTTATTTCTCTCTTTTATTTTTAACTTTCAAGATTCTTCTGTCTCATTTTACTAAAATAATTAAGCAGGATGAATATCTCTTATTTATTGATTTTTATAGTGCTCTTTATATATTATATTATATTTTGGGATTTTTTTTCTTTTTTTGAGACAGCATCTTGCTATGCAGGTTCTGGCTGGCCTTGGGATCACTATGTAGCCCAGGGTGCCCTCAAACATGCAGAGATCCTCCTACCTTACCCTCCTGAGTGCTGGGATTAGAGGTGTGCACCACCACATCCAGCGATCTTTATGTATTTTAGATTTGCATTCTGTGTTGGATATAGGTACTGTAAGTACTAACTCTTGCCTATAGATAGGTGTGTTCCTTTTTAATAAACAGAATTCCCAAATTTAACATTCTATTTTGGCCCTTTTTAACATTCAAAGGTCTTTGTATTCTAAGAGAAACATGCCTATTTGATAAGCTTTTCAAAATCAAAAAAAGGAAAAACGGTTGCCAAGCAAAATCTTTATCCTGCTGTCATTAGAAGTATTAATTATCATGTTCCATGGTAAAAACAACAACAACAACAACAACAATAAATATACCAGACCCAAAGATGAGCCGAAGGTAAGGGGGGAAATCCTGTCTCATCTTTAAAAACACCTGAGTATTTTCTATAGGTTAATGTCCTATCAAACACTGATGTTGGACAATATAGCACATTTGTTCATTTATTTTTGTGGAAGTTACTTTTCCACTATGAACAAGCTTATTTAACCTTCTGGAGATTTTTCTTTTAAAAATAGTTGTATTGTTAAAATAAATAGCCAGATGTTCAGAAGTACCATATACCTGCAACACCTTTTCAAGAAACATTTTAATGTCTTTTGCATTTTCCCTTTCATAACTGATATTAAATAAATTTGTGCTTATGATTGTTTCTTTAACCTCTATTATTTTGTGGATTAACTTTTCTTTTTATAGAAATATGCTCATTAACTGTTCTTTTAAAGAATGTATATTTGTGAGAAAGATTTTTTAGTTTTTACATGTCAGAAAATATATTTTGTTCTCAACAAAAAACAAAAATTTCACTGATATGTGTATATGAAACTAATTAAATGTCTACTAGAAAATCATACCTTTGGCATACTTGCTGTAGTTAGATTTTAGTTCCAAAAGATTTTTGGTCAATTCCTGGTAATTTGTTTTATTGCTTTCACAAGAATTTAAGCATGACATTGACTAGGAATGGTGTGGGGGGGCATCTTTACCTTGCTCTTGATCTTAGAGGGAAAGCATCTAGTTTCCCACTATTAAGTATGTAAGTTTAGAAAGACCTGTTAGACTAATATTTATTGACAGTTTGGGTTCTTTTTTTGGGGGGGGTACCAGGGATCAAACTCAGGAACTTGCTCTTGCTAGGCAGGTACAGCACCACTGAGCTACATCTCTAGCCCTGACAGTTTTGGTTCTTTAAAATTTTAATACAAATGGGTGTTGGATTTGACAAACGGCATTTCTGTATTTTTTTTTTAAAGACAGGTTCTTGCTTCATAGCCCAAGACAGTCTTCAGCTCTCTATATAGCATAACACTCAAAATCCTGATCGTTCTGTCTCAGCCTCCCCAGTACTGAAATTACACCACCACACTCAGCTCTGCTTCAGTCTTACTATGTCGATTACTTAACTATTTGCAGCTTTTCAAAGCTAGAATAAATGCTGTTTCACCAACAATTTTTTTGTTGTACTAGGATTAGATCGCTAATATTGTTTAGAGGATTTCTGCATCTATGGTCATGAGAGAAATTGGTCTGTAGCTGTCCTTTCTCATATGTTAACATCTAATTTGTCACTGTTTGTTTTGTGGTGCTGGGGATCAACATACAACTGAAGTACTCTATGAAGGAATTTTACATGTAATCTCCTAAAGGGTCATATTCTCTAAAATGTAAAATTTATTTGTATTTTCTATAGAGGTACATGACACGCTTGAAATATTACTTACTTTTTAAAAGGTGAAGTAATTAAGGTAAGAAGTTTGGATGATGTTATTATAGCTTATGTTTGGATGTCCCTCAAAGCCTCATGTGGTCCTAGGTGGGGCTTGTTCAGGGGTGGCTGAATCTAGAGTGTGATGCTGGGATTAAGGGTATGTGATTACTAAATCAGTACACTGATTGGTTTGGCACGGCCCTAATCCCGGTAGTTTGAACAAGATAAAATGGCCAGAAAGATGCTGTTAATGTTCCTTGTTGGGCCCAGGGTTTAGCTTAGTGGTTCCGCCGCCTGCCTCACAAGCTCAAAGTCCTGATCCCTGGTACAAAAAAAAAGTCCTTTGTTGCTTTTGCTACCAGGTGAGCACCAAGAACTACTTCTCTTCTATGATGTCCCTCTGCCATGTGACACTATGCCTTGGAGCAAGTTGATTATGGACTGAAACCTCTAGAAACTGTGAGCTTATAAACCCTTCCCCCTTTAACTTTGGGTGTTGGGCATTTTGTCTCAGCAACAGGAGAAAAGTAACTGATAGGCCCCCTGAGCAAGACCTCCACCCAACTGAGAGAAAAAAACCCAACAGACGCATTGCCTGCAAGAATGGTGATGACAGGAAGCCAGCTACTGCCTCGCTCATTCACACCTGCAAGTATACCGAGCCTCCGAAAAACCGAAAGGCACCCGCTGTACCTGCCATTGCCCTGCTACCTTCAACCCATCCTGTTCACCAGCTTCAAGCCTATCACCCAAGAGACCCCAAAATTTTCCACCCTCCAAGCTAACTACTTAAACTCCAAGCTCCCCTACTTAAACTCTCCTATATAAACTGCAAACACCCTCCTTCCTATGCCAATGGCCTTTTCGCCCTTGGCCCATCTGCACCCAGATGGCAATAAACTCATTGCATGTTGCTTAGATTTTGCCTGCCTCAGTGGTTTCACTTGTGCTCCTTTCAGTAATTAACACAGATGATATGTAGTAGAAAGCATTTTCAAGTATGAAAGCATGAACAAATTTCTCATAGAAAACTAATGGTACTAAATAGGCTTAGAATACTCTCATTTAGCTTGTATATAATCCTGAATGAGTCCTATCCACTTGTAAAAAAGTCTTCTCTATTTATAAAAAATATGCAACATCATCAAAAGCTAGAAATTCTTAGAATTTTATTTACAATTTACAAAATGTCACAAACAGTATTTTGCTGGTAATAATTAGAGTCAAGAATGGATTAATATAAAATGTCACTTGACATATAATACATATTAAAATATAGCTTTAATCCCAGCTTCATCAATTAGTTTTATAATTCCAATTTTTAAACAAATATAGAAACAAAGTAATACACATGAGATTTTGCTAAATATTTTTAATTTAAGCCACTTTCTACATTGGATATTACTTCAACTTTAAAACCATTTACAAATTAAATAATCTTTCCATTATAATTCCAAAATATAAAGGTATTATGCATCAAATGGAACACGAGGCATAAAAGATATTTTTATAAATTTTTTAAAAATTATATTAAATGTATTGTAAGTTAACAAAAGAATTTTTAAGACTATTGGATGAGACAAAGTACATCAAATGTTTTATAAATCTAGAATATTTTTACTTACACTATTGCCCATACAGTTTAAAACACCAAAGAATTGAATGAATCAGAAAAGACCACTTTAAAAATGAATAGATGGCAGTATGTGTCATCTAAGGATAAAAGAAAGATGGACTATTGCTTTGATTTGCAAATAATAATCCTTATTCAAATAGTCCTAAATTTCCATTATCTTTGGATGACAAGATTCTTTATTGTCTGAAAAGAAACCATCTTTTTACTGATGGAAGGCTTCTAATCTTATTCGGGTTGGATCTTCTGGATGTCTCAAGGCAATTCCATTACGCAGCAGCAGCTCAATATAAGGTGGCCAAAAAGAATCACTAATTTTGACATATGGATCATGTGGAACATCAAATAATCTATTTATAAGAATCTAGGAAAGAATATCATTGAAAATACATTTTATGTGGAGGAAAGTCTACCTGCAGCTTTAATAAAACAACCATGAATGGAACTAGCAAGAATGTTGACTTCTTTACTCATTAAACAACTATTCGTAATTTTTATATACTGTATTAAATTAAATTCTATAATTTTTAAAAGACTACAGATATTAGAAAATGGAAAGTTTTAAAATGAATTTCTGTATCTTAACATTTGAAAATTTTTTCCCCAAACTAGCTAAGAAGCATTTACAAGTCTTCCTTCTCTTGTGATTAATAATTTCTTCAAAATAAAGACAAGAATCTTACAAAGTAAAATTCATAGCTAGACTTGATGGTGCAAGCCTGTAATCCCACTATTCTGGAAGGCTAAGGGAGGAATATATCAAGTCTTACAACTCAGATGTACTCTATCTCAAAATTTGAAAAAAGGGGCTGAAGGTGTAGCTCAGTGTAAAGGCCCTGGGTTCAATATCCAGTATTGCCTCCTACAAAGGTGAAATTCACAGTGGTAGAACTGTTGTGAACATGTGGGAGGCCCTGGGTTCAATCCCCAGCATCAATCAATCAACAAAATACTGTACACACAAAGTTCAAAAGGAAGTTAGCAAGGGTATCATAATACTGGTGGGAGCCATGCATGGTGGCACACAAAGCAACTCAGGAGGCTGGGTGCATAGGTAATGGGGAAAAAATAAGAACTAAGATACATCATATTCAGGTACAAACACCCAATGATAAATGGAAATGTACTGTATACCTAAAATGTACCAATTAATATATAAATTTTTAAAAAGAAAAAAGTAAAATCAAAAAATTCAATACCAACCCAGACAACACAGCAAGACTCTGCCTCAAAACAAAATTCTTTTAAAAAGGCTGAAGAATACATTAAAGTGTTCTTTATTTTTTCTGTAAAATACTGATGTGTGTAATAAAAATAAAAGATTAATTAGGGGAAAAAAAAGGGTGAGGGCATAGCTCAATGGTAGAGCACTTGCATTATGTGCAATTCAATCCTCAGTGCCACCAAAAAAAAAAGAGAAAAGAAAACTTGGGGATTCAGAAGGGGCTCATCAGTTCCACCCAAAAAAGACTCCTATTCTTGATAAAATATCAGAATAATCTTTTTTTGGGGGGGGGGTACCAGGCATCGAACTCAGGACCTTGTGCTTGTGAGGCAGGCAGCGCAACCACTGAGCTAAATCCCCAGCCCAGAATAATCAATTTTATTGCCATCATTTCCTTCAACTTCATTTCTTTATCAAGGATGTTGAGAGATTATAGCCAAAAATTGAGACATTTTGATGATTTGTATTTATAGGTTACTATTTCCCAAAATGCATTCCATGAAACCGGTCTTGCTAATTTATGTTCTTAGTCTGATAAACTGGGTTTTGTCGTCATATGAAAGGCAGACACAGATTGCTAATGAGATCACTTGTCTTTTGCAAATCCACTGGCATTGGCAAAATTTTTTCAAGAAGCAAGTATTTACAGTTCTTTGAATACTAATATATTTATAAAACAGTGAAAATGCTACATGTAGATATATTTTGACTCATCATCCACTTCCCAATACTTTCACAAATTATAATACCAGTACTCAGTAGGATTAAGGGATTTCACAAGTAAACAAAATTAGCAAAATTAGACACTACTTCTCAATTGCCATGCCAAAGCTTTAACTGAAAGATGCTATTATTTTACGGAATATGGAAAAATTTATACAATTTTTCTTAATTAATTTATACAAATATCAAGTGGTACAAAAGTGCATAAAATTAACCTGTCAAGCTCTAATTTCAATTATATTTCATAGTATCAGTATTTCAATTCTTGAAAAAAAAAATTAAAGCTAGCCTTAATTATACCTATTCAAGCCCCTACATTGGAAAGGGAGAAAAGCTTATGGCCTCATTTTCTAGGTATTATGGCAAAGAATTAAATATATTCCTATTTTAAAGCACTTGCTTATTTTAATATAATTTAAAAACCTTCTGAGCTGGGCGGTATAACTTAAGTAAGTTATAGAGCACTTACCTAGAATTTGTGAGGTCCTGGGTTCAATCCCTAGCACTACACTATGAATTGTTAAATGCTAAAATTTATATTTAAAATGAGTATTTTTCACTGAATTGAAGATTAAATATTGATTACTTTTACCACTGATAATATAAGCCTGTGAGACACATTTAGTTTTTTAAGTTTTATATTGTCTCCCATCATACATCTGAATATTTCACACATATATTCCAGTTAATACTTTTTGATAACTGTCACGTGAAGTGATAATTTTTATTGAAAAAGTTAAGACATCCATGAAAACAATAGTCATAGTTTCATTATAAATTGGAGTAGCTAGAACTATGTTAAATATTCTAATCACAAATCTAATAAATATTTGCATTTAGCCTTTCAAAGTAATAATATTCAGAATTAAGAAAGATATCCTGAGGCACCAATTTAGTTGGACAGAAACATAGACTTTTACACCCAATTCATTAAATTACAATGAAACATTTAGTCCTTATTTACACTTTCAGTTTCTCACACCAGAGAAACTATTCAGTATTTACACGTGTGTCCTATTTATTTCACTTAAGAGTATCGCCTCAGTGTGCATCCACTTAGCTATAAATGTCTCTAATTTCTCATTTTTTATGGCTGAGTTGTACTAAATGTATAATAGGTAATGTGAAATAGGAAGAAAAGGGGCAAAGGGGAAGGAAGTGGGAGGGCTAGGGGAAAGGATAGAAGGGAATGCGATTAATATGAGAAAATGGAAAAATAGGAACAAAATCTTTGTAAATAGGGAGGAATGGACGGGTTGAAGGGAGGGCTGGGCAAGGGTGAAAAATAAGAACCAAGAGAGACTATGTAAAGGTGCAAATTTCCAATGATGAATGTCATTATATTGTATACCTAAAATGTACCAATGATTAGAATGAAGAATCGATAATGCAAAATAGGAAGAAAAGGTCCAAAGAGGTAGGGGTAGTGGGAGGGCCAGGGGAAAGGAAAGAAGGGAAAGGAAAAAATGATGAGAAATGGAAAAAATGGAAATAAAGTCTTTGTAAATAGGGAAGGGTGGGCTAGGAATGGGGAAAAAATAAGAACCAAGATGCATTATGTAAAGGTACAGTTCCCAATGAGAAATGTAATTGTGTTGTATACCTACAATGTACCAATAAAAGAATTTAATACAAAAAAAAAATTACAATGAAACACATTTTCTGAAAACACTCTTCTAAACTTAATAACATTAGGGAAAAGGCACACTAATTGATAAATGCCCTGCTCTTCACAGACTATTTTCCTCTGTGTCCAATTTGGCATATATTCTCATATCAAGATTTTCTAAAGTATATGTTTAATAATTTAGTGGAAGGTCAAAAACATTTTTTTAAAAGGTCAAAGTTATTTATAAAACAAATAAAATGTCAAACAGAAAAGTTCAGAATTGTTCAGTCATTACATTTTGATAAAGGAGAATAACGTTAAGGAAAACTGCACAAATTTCTACAACATTGTGGAAAGGTTCTTTATACTCATTTGCATATGTTATAGTAGAGAGCTAGCTAAAATACTAACAATATAACACAGGATTTTATTATGTAAATAAGTAACAAACATTTTTTAAGTCTGTAATTGTAATAAACCTTGAGAACATGATTAAGGGTTGGACTTCAATTTTATGCTTTTAAAAAATGACAATATTGTTCCCAATACTACACAGAAGACAAAAAGTAATTTTGTAGTAAAAACAAATTTTTATAACTATATTAAAGATTGATATGAAACAAGAATTAGAGTACTATTTTTTCTTTGATAAGCCTGACTATAATTGTTCACAAGTGATTAAGAGACAGCTTAAAATTAAAAAAGAAAAAACAAAAACTACATAAAGCCCTTACCTCTAACACTTCATGCAGTGTTATCAGCTGTTTAGTTGCTTCTTGAATGTTTTTCTTTGAGAGAAATGTGAAGAACAATTAACATTTCAATTTTGCCTATGGCAGAGTATTGAAATGTATTGCAAGATTTTTAAAATTATTTCTTAGTTGCAATGGTACAAGGTGACTAAAATGAAACACATTATTAGGTGATTTTTAAAAACTTCTGAAAGTAAATAACCTAATTGTACATAAGTCAGGCTCATAAAAATGCAGTTCAGATGACTTCTAAGACAAAGAAAACTTTTATAACTATTATAAAATTCATACTATCCATAAACATATAATGAGTAAATAATATAAATATATATATGGCATACAAAATAAACTCTAATGTTTGGGGTCCCCAGTAAAAATTCCCCAAGTACATGACATTCCAGACTATATAATTTCAGAAGAAACATACTTCCCTGGGAGCTTGTTCATCTTTCCACAGCTCTCGACAGTTCCTAATATTAACTACACTCACTCTTTTTTTTTCATAGGATTACAGAAAAAAAAAATCTCATTCAAATTTTATGCAAGTGTTTTGCAAATATTTGAGACAACTAACATAAAGCCCAAGTTGTCTCTTCTCCATGTTAATTGCCAGTAGTTTCTTCAATTATTTTCACATGGCAGAGATTCCCATAATTGGGGATGTTCTCTAAATGTATTATAGTTTGTTTGATCCAGTCTCCCATAATGATTTAGGTGCAATGCAACCATCACAGAAAATAAATTCTTTCTTAATTATAGATGCTGGAATACTTTTTATTAAGATTAAAATCGTGACTGTATGTGGAAATAGGGCCTTAGCAAGGTAACTAAGGTTAAATGAGGTCTCAAGGGTGGGATCCTAATCCAAAATGACTAATTTCTCTCTAAGAGGAAGAGACATTAAAGAATTGCCCCCTTCTCCTCTTTCAACACAGAGAAAAGACCAATCAAAAAACACAGTGAGAAAATGTCATCTACAGGTCATGAAGAAAGGCACTGCCAAGAATTACTTTTGACAGTACTTTGATACTGGGCTTGTAGCATCCAGACTAAAAAAATTAAAACTTAATTTCTCACTTAAGCCAGAGTGTGGTATTTGTTATAGCAGCCTATTAACATATATAGTATTATGGCTGGCCAGAAAAAGAAACAGAGAGAGAGAGAACACTATCATTTTATAACCTGCACCACTAATTCTTACATGCCATTTCCAAAAACATGAGGTTATCAAATATTACTCAGTGGCTTCTGGTAATCATTGATTCCTTTTCAGGATGCCTCAAACTTCTGATGCTATTAGTGAAGAAGTATAATACATTTAAAAAATAAAGTTGAAAAAAAATGGAGACACTGATGTCAGAAAATAAATCAGTGAATTGCTCCAAGTTAAGATCATTAAGAGCCAACGAATTGTGGAGTTTACAAAGTGATCACAAGAATTGTTGTCAATAATTTCCTCAATAAATAAAAATATGAATAGTAATGA